CCCCCCGCGCCTTGATCTCGGTGCACACGCAGCGTTTTCGGTCGATCACCTCCTGCAGCTGCCCGTCCCGGGGCCGGGGGGCGGCGGCGGCGGCGGCGGCGGGGAAGCCCCCCCCGGGGACCCCTCCGGAAAGGGGGCGCGATGAGGGGGGGCCGCGTGGGAACGGGGGGGCCCCGGCCTGGCGCACCCCCGAGGTGGAGGCGGAGCGGCCCAGGCGGGGACCCCCGGGAAGCTCTGGGAGAGGGAGGAGGGAGTCAGGGGGGACACGGCGGTGTCACCCCCCCCTGCCGCCCCCCCATGTCGCTCCGATTGTCCCCCACAAACGTCCCCGTTGCCCCCAGCATGTACCCCCGTGTCACCCTGCATGACGCCCACCCCCGGCATCCCCCGTGCCCCCCCAAGTACCCCCAACAAGTGCACCCCGAAATCTCCTCCCGCACGTACCCGAGGGTCTCCCGCAGGCCGGGAAGGTCTGGCAGGGCAGGGGGGGTCCCGGCCGCCCCCGGGGCCCCTCGGCCCGGACGGGGATCCCCGAGGGGGGGGGAACCGTGCCCGCCCCCCCCCGCTCCTCCCGGGGGGGCTCCGCTGCCTCTGTGAAAAATGGGGGGGGGGGGAAGAGGGGTCAGTCCCGCCCACGGGGCGTGGCCCCGCCGCAAGCCCCGCCCCGTTCCTGTCACTCACTCTCGGTCTCCTTCCCGCGGCGGGCAGAGGCTCCGCCCCCCCGGCGAAGGGGCGGCTCCTCCTCGCGGGCAAGGGCGGGGCCTGCCGAGGCCACGCCCCCGCGGAGGCTCTCGTAGGCGGGCGGGCGCTTCCCGGGGGGCGGGGCTTCGGCGGAAGGTGGGAGGGGCAGCGGCCCCAGCCCCGCCCCCCCGCGCTCGCGCCCCGCGGCTCCCGGCGCGTGGTGCGGGGGGAGGGGCGTGGAGTGGCTCCGCGCGCGAGCGGGGGGCGGGGCCTCGCGGCGCGAGGGGAGGGGCAGGCGCGAGGTCCCCTCGGGGGGCGGGGCCAGCGGGGGTGGGCGGGGCGGCAGCAGGTTGGGGAAAGGGGGCGGGATGGGGGCGGGGCCGGAGAACGGGGCGTGGCCGATGAAGGGGGCGCGGCCGGCATGAGGGGCGTGCCCGGAGAAAGGGGCGTGTCCGCTGTAGGGGGCGTGGCCGGAGTGCAGCGCGGGGCCGCTGAAAGGGGCGTGGGCGGAGTGCGGGGCGTGTCCGTGGAAGGGGGCGTGTCCCGGGAAAGGGGCGTGTCCCGGGCCCTCCCCCGCGGGCAGGGGGCAGCTCATCTCCTCGTAAATGGCCTCCGGTTCCTCGGCAGGCGGGGGGGGGGCTCCCCCGGGGCCCCCCCGGCGGGGATCGCCCCCCGGGACCCCCCGGGCGTCCCCCACCATCTCGATGTACACCGGCTCCTCCGCCTCGCCCTGCTCGGCCAGGGGGGGCGGGGGGGCTCCGGCTGACAGCCGGGTCTGGGGGCTGCGCGAGGGCTTCAGGGGGGGCGTCTGCCGCACGCAGCCCCCCCGGGGGGTGCCTGGGGAAGGGAATTGTGTCAGGGCCCGGTACGCCTTCCTCGCCCCCTCAAATTCCTGGCGACCCCTCCCTGCCACGCAAACCTCCCCAGGACCCCTCCGTTCTCCCCCGGCCTCCCCGTCCGCTCCCTGATACCCCAACCCCGCTGAGCCCCCTCACGCAGCCCCCAGCTCCTGCACAGCCCCCCCAGGAGCTCCCCAAACCCCACCCGTTCCACTCACCACCTCTCTTGGCGGGCGGTGCCTCGAGGCCCCGGCCCTCGGGGGGCCCGGTGCGGGGTCCGGGGGGGCGCAGGGGCACCCCCGAGTCGGGGAGCCCCACGGCGTGGCACGACAGGGAGCGGGGGGCCATGCCCGGGGCACAGGGCCGGGGGCCACGTTCCTGCGGCGCCGGCAGGGTCAGGAACCCCACACGGAGCGGGCGCCGCAGGGACCCCCCCTCCCGCGCCTTGGGGACCCTGGGGACGGGGACACAGCAGTCAGGGCGACCCCGAAATTTCTGAGAACGCCCCGACCCCATCAGAGATCCTCTAGGACTTCGCTCCTGCGGTGCAGGGGGGAACTGTGGTCCTCCACCTTTGGGGGATCTGAGGTGCAGAGAGTGCGCCATGGCTCTCGGGGTCAGTCCCAGGAGGGCAGGGAGCCATTGAGGCTCGGGGTTCTGGGGAGGGGCAGGGGTCCCAGGAAGGGGTCCCAGGTTCCCCCAGTGCTTTGGGGCTCTTTGGGTCCTGCCAGGGCAATTCCGAGGGGTTAGGTGACCTCCCAGGGCGGACCTGAGGAATCCCAGTGTCCCCCTAGAGTGGTCCAGGGTGGTCCTGGGGCTCCCGCTGTCCCCTGAGGGTGGTCCCAGGGGTACTGGTATCCCCCCAGGGTAGCCTTGGGGGGTTTCTGTGTCCCTCCACGGTGGTCCCAGTGTCCCCCCCGGGGTGTCCCCGGTGTCCCCTCACCCCTTGCGCGGCTCCTCCTCGCGGGGGCGCCACTCGGGGCGGCCCTTGCGCTGCAGCAGGTTCATGGCGGCCGCGGGGGGGCGCTCCTCTCCCAGGCGCAGCAGGGCGGCGGCGGCGGCGGCGAGTTCCGACCGCGGGGGGGCGCTCATGGCTGGGGG